AAGAGGAAGTGTACTCATTACCTCACTCATGTAACTGTAACCCTCTGTATAGTATCTTTACAATAAAAAAAAAAAAAAAAAAAAAAAAAAAAGAGAGAGAGAGAGAGATACAGACAGACAGACAGAGAGAGACAGAGAGAAGAGAAAAAAATACACACTAAGCAAGGGTACTGTGGTCCCTGCTTATAATCCTAGCTACTCAGGAAACTGAGATCTGGATTGTGAATTGAGGGCAGTCTAGGTATAAAAGTCCACTATACTTCATCTTCAAAATAATCAGCAAAAGATATGGCTGGGGTACAAATCAACTGGTAGAGTGCCAGCAGTGCAAGGCCCTTAGTTCAAACCTTAGTACCTCAAAACAAAAAACAAAACAAACACATCATAAATACATCACCACTATTTTCTATGTATAAAAGTTTTGCAATAGCTCTTAGCAAGAAGTACTCTCTTTTGCTGATACATGCTGTTTGAATTTAGGACAGCCAGGCACCGGTGGCTCATGTCTGTAATCCTAGTTACTCAGGAAGCTGAGATCTGAGGATCGTGGTTCAAAGCCAGCCCACGCCAGGAAAGTCTGTGAGACTCATCTCCAATTAACCAACAGAAAACCAGCAGTGGCGCAATGGTAGAGAGCTAGAGCTGAAGAGCTGAGGGACAGTGCCTAGACCCAGAGTTCAAGCCCAAAGACCAACAACCAAAAAAACAAAAAACAAAAAAGAACTATGCTCCTGGAGAACACAGCAACCTTCCAAGTTCACTCATTCACTGCCACAACCCAGCCCAGTCCTCTATTGCAGAGGCCAAAGTCCTTTTGTGGACTGGATGGCTGGGGATACTAAATGACACCAAGTTCCTAGGAATACCCAAATGAGGGTTGGTTGCTCTCACTGTTGTGCCCTGGGTGGTACCAAAGGATTGTAAGAAGATGGCATCCTGTCTGTTCTCTCAGTAACTGCCCCACGACCAACAAAAAAATAAAATAAAATAAAATAAAATAAAATAAATGAGAGTACATGAGAGTAAATGTTCTCAACTGAATAACTCTCATTTTTGGCAGGAATAGGGATTGAACTCAGAGCTTTGCACTTGCTCAATCACTTGAGCTATACCTTTAGGCCTGTTTTTTCCCCCTCCCAGTCATGGGGCTTGAACTCAGAGCCTGAGTGCTTTCCCTGAGCTCTTCAGCTCAAGGCCAATGCTCCACCACTTGAGCCACAGCACCACTTCTGGTTTTCTGGGGGTTTATTGAAGATGAGAGTCTCATGGACTTTCCTGCCTAGGCTGGCTTTGAACTGTAATCCTCAGATGTCAGCCTCCTGAGTAACTACGATTATAGGCATGAGCCACCAGCAGCCAGCCAGGCCTGGTTTTGTTGTTGTTGTTCCTCATAACTCGTAAGTGTCTGATGCCAGTGGGTTTTTGTCTCCTTCTACACACACACGCTCACCCTGAACCATGATTTAAACCTAGGGCCTCATGCTGTGGTTCAGACTACCACTGGTATTCTACCACATGGATACCTTCTCCTGCCTGGCTTTTTGCTGGTTAACTGGAGATAAGAGTCTCTTGGACTCTTCTGCCCAAGTAGGCCTGGAACCATGATCTTCCAGGTCTCAGCCTCTTGAGAAACAGATTACAGACCTGAGACTCTAGTACCCAGACAGGCTTTTGCTTTTCTTTTTGTCAGGAGTAAGTACAATTCAGGAAGACCACTCATGTAAAAGATGTAACTTCTTACATAACATTCCAATAGTTTTGTTTTTGTTTCTGTCGGTTATGGGGCTTGAACTCTGGGCCTGGGCCCTGTCCCTCAGCTCTTCAGCTGAGGGTGGTACTTTACCACTTGAGCCACAGTGCCACATCTGGTTTTCTGGTGGTTAATTGGAAATAAGAGTCTCAGGGACTTTCTTGCCAGGGCTGGCTTTGAACCCTGATCCTCAGATTTCAGCCTCCTGAGTAGCTAGGGTGCCACTGGTACCCAGCTTCCAATAATGTTTTACAACCTTAGTTGTAAATGCTAAACTTAACAGGTAAGCCAAGAGTATTTCAGAAAAACTCAGGCCAACTTAAAACTTAGTTGTTGGGCTGGGAAGGTGGCTCAGTGGTAGAGCGCTTGCCTTGCATGCCAGAGGCCCTGGGTTCGATTCCTCAGCACCACATAAGCAAAAAGAAAAAAGCCGGAAGTGGCGCTGTGGCTCAAGTGGTGAGTGCTAGCCTTGAGCTGAAGAGCTGAGGGACAGCGCCCAGGCCCAGAGTTCAGGCCCCATGACCGGACCCAAAAAAAAAAAAAAAAAAAAACTTAGTTGTTAACTGACTTGATATCGCTTTGATGCTTATAAGTTAAACAACTAAAAAAAAAAAAAAATTCAGATAAATAATACTGTCCAAGTAAAATATTAACTATCCTAAAGAATAAGTTTATATAGTACTAAATGTACAGGATCTGGATTTGTAACATGAAATTAAAAAGCAAAGATTTTAAATAAAATAAAAAATACTCCTCCTTTCTATGGTACATAGCTCTGCACCGTGCTGCTCACTGTTCTCACCACACCCACCTGCTGTTGCCCCCAGAGTTACTGCTCTTCTTCCTGCAGTGGTTTTCCTGCCATTCTCACCTCTGTCTCTGCCATCTTACCACATCTTGACTATGGCACAGGCAAAGATCAGCATTTAACATGTTCAGCACTCAGTGAAGCAAAACTACTTCACATTCTCAGGTTGGAGAGTGAAAAAATCCCAATTCCATTGTCTCAAATGTTCTTGTTTAGATCCTCTTCACTATTTTCATTGCTAGTAAAACTCAATGGTCTTTTTCTCAGCTACACCTCTGTTCCGAGTTAATTTGGGGTTGAATGTACTGTGTAAGTCAGTTTTTTGCTTGTTTTAAAACAGGGTCTCGCTATGTAGCTCAGGCTAAAATTTGTGATGCTTCTTCCTCTGTGTCGTGAGTGCTGGATTACAGTCATGTGACACCCTAATTAAGTCACCCTAATTAAGATATTACATGAGCCATTTTTGCTCTTATCTTTTCCAAAATTATATTATTTCTATAGCTAGCATAGAGTCCATGGAAGATCTGGTAAAAAGTTCTAGTAAGTTGACAGGAAAAGAGCACAGTTGAACACTCACTCCTACCTTACCCAATAACTTACCTTTTCATTGGCTAAATGCAGGAGACAGGCAAAAGCCAGAGGTATGGAGAGATTCTTAGCCATGAGGGGAGGGAGGCTGGAAACGAAGGGGAAAATTTTGAGTAGGTTACTGAAATTTGAAGAACAAAGACTCTTTCATAAAGTATGACTAATACACATATACAATAACAAAACTAATGAGAACAAATACTTCAGATGCATCTTATAAACAAGTCAGACCAGTTTCATATTTAAAATTAAATACCTCCTATTTCAGGCACTGGACCACAAAGACATAAATTTTTGTTGCTATTGTATTTTTTGGCATTGCTGGAGGTTTGAACTCAGAGTCTTGTGCTTGCTAGGGAAGTACTCTAGCACCTAAGCCCTTCTGACAGCCCTTGTGGGTTATTTTGTCTCACTATATAGTCCAGGTTGGTCTCAAAGTTGTGATTCTATCCATTTGCTATGAAGATAAAGCAGAGAAACTGAGACAGGTATTACTTATATAAAGCAGGCCTCCAACAGCAAGCCCATCATTCTAGCAACTCTTGCTGAGCATTCTTAGCCAGGGCCCAGAGGGAGACAGACAGGTGCTACTGCTTGCCCTGAGTTTACCAGTACTCACCTCTTCTGTAGGTCCTTTGTGAGCCCACTGAGCATCTTCCCATCAGCTACCATCTCTGAGGGCTCTTCCTTGCCATTTTCACTGCGGTTTGCCTAACAAAAGAAGCATAGCTACAGGTTGGACATTTAAAGCTGGTTCATGTCTGAAAGAGCAACAGAAACTTACAAAGCTGGATTTCCAACAAAGAAAGTTTACACCCAGCACCTATGGCTTATGTTTGTCATCCTAGCTACTCAGGAGGCTGAGATCTGAGTGTTACCATTCAAAGCTAGCCTGGGCAGAAAAGTCTTATAAGACTCTTATCTCTAATTAAGCAACAAAAAGCTGGAAATGGAGCATGGAGCTGTAGCTCAAGTGGTAGAGTAATAGAAGTTCAGAGGCAGTACCCAGGCCCTAAATTCAAGCTGACCCCCCCCAAAAAAAGGAAAAAGTTTACATCTGAATGAAAGAAAAGTAACCACTTTGCTATTCTTTAAGAAAAATAATGTATAAAGGATTCAGTGCTTCAGTCCTAAATAACACTGAAATTAACCCATATGTGGACAATATGAATGCCAATAGTGGTATGATCTGGGTAAAGGATGTGAGAAAAACTGTCTTTTCTATCAAAGTGTGTTGCTTAAAAGTTCCTGCTTTGGCTCAGTGGTTTCACTGTTGTTAAGGAAAAGATGACTACCATTGGGAGAAGGTAAGGTTTTTGTCTTAAACTGGTTTATTTTCAAGATGGACCTGACACACCTCAGATTGTTTTTGAAACAGCAGTGAGTGAGGGTACTGTTAATCTTATTTCAAAATAACCTTATGTAAATACATTTTACCCTATTCAAACTAGCCAATCACAAGCAGACTTTGAACCAATCTTCTCAAAGGGGCAGAGCCTGATACATTAGGGATAGAGAAGCAGCTTGCCTGCTCTGTGCTTGCCTGTCAGATTTTTGAACCCTTCTGCAGCAGTAAATTTTGTCTTGCATCTTAGAGAGAATATTAATTTTTTCTTCTTCTTTTATTTTTTTGGTCGGTCACGGGGCTTGAACTCTGGGCTTGGGCGCTATCCTTGAGCTCTTCAGCTCAAGGAGAGCGCTCTACTGCTTGAGCCACAGCACCACTTCCTAATTTTTTAATGTTTGTTTGTTTGCCATCCAGGGGCTAGAGCTCAGGGCCTGGGCACTATCCCTGAGCTTCTTTTGCTCAAAGCTAGCACTCTACCACCTGACCCACAGTGCTGCTTACAGCTTTTCCTGTTTATGTGGTACTGAGGAATCGAACCCAGGGCTTCATGCATGCTAGGCAACACTCTACCACTAAGCCACATTCCCAGCCCCATACATAGAGGGCATATTATAATAAGGGGAAACCACAAAGGGTCTTCTAGAATCCCTTGCTGAGGAGGGGAACTAGGAAAATAAATAAAAACCATAATGATTTTTGGCTTTGACTAAACTCTACTCCAAGAGGCATCATGGAATCTATTCATGCTCAAAAGTAAAATCAAGTTTGTCACTTAAATAAAAAATAGCTTCCTACCACCTCAGTAAATCTTTTCACAGACAAGCAGTGTGCAAAGATTTGCCGTGAAATAAGCTGTAATGTGTACATGGGGATATAGGATGAGTAATGGGAGGGACAGAATTAGAAAACAGTGTAATTAACCATGAACAGATACTGGGAGTGTAGGGGTTCATTACACTAGTCTGTTATTTTTCTCTCTAAACTTCTATTTTTGTATGTTTGACTATTTCCTTTGTGTGTATGTATGTATGCATGCACGCACACATGTGTGCACACACATTAGTCCTGGGACTTGAACTTGGGGCTTGAGTGTTTTTTTCTCAAGGCTAGTAGCTAGTGCTCTACACTTGAGCCACATCTCCACATCTCCACTTCTGGGGTTTGTTTTGTTTTATTGGCAATTAACTGACAATAAGAGGCTCACAGACTTTCCTACTTGTGTTAGCTTCAAACCACTATCCTCAGATCTTAGCTCACAAGTAGCTAGGATTATAGGCATGGAGTCAACCAGTACCTGCCCTTGACTGTTTTTCTAATCAAGTCTCATTACGTAGCCCACACTGCCCTCCAAGTTGTGATCCTCCTGCCTCAGCCCAAATACTAGGATTATAGCCATTAATCACCACATCTGACTGGATTTTTTATTTTGTGGCAGTCTTGTTATGTAGTCCAGGCTGGCCTCGAACTCCTCATCTTCCTACCTGAGCCTCCCAAGTTCTGGGATTACAGGAACACACAAGTATGCTCAACTCACTTTCTATCCCATCCCATCCCATTCCATCCTCTTTTTTTTTTTTTTTGTCGGTCATGGGCCTGAACTCTGGGCCTAGGCGCTGTCCCTCAGCTCTTCAGCTCAAGGCTGGTGCTCTACCACTTGAGCCCACAGAGCCACTTCCAGTTTTTTCTGTTTATATGGTGCTAAGGAATCAAACCAGGGCCTCATGCATATAAGGCAAGCACTCTACCACTGAGCCACCTTCCTAGACCTCCATCCTCCTTTTTAAAGATAGTCTTACTATGTAGCCCACGCTGGCCTAGAATTGACCGTGTAGTTCATGGTCTCAAACCCACAATTCTCCTGGCTCAGCCTCCTAAGTGTTGACGTTATAGTTGTGCACCACTAACCCTGGCTCTTTTTTTAAAATTAGAATATTTTTCTTCTTTCTCTCCCTCTTTCTCTCCCTCTCTCTTTGCAGAACTGAGGACCAAACTCAGAGCCTTACACTTGCCAGGCAAATGCTATTCCACTGAGCACTGAATAAACCCTAGAGCATTTTTATTTTATTTATTTATTTTTCTTGTTTGTCTGTCATGGGACATGAACTCTTGGCCTGGGCACTGTCTTTCAGCTCTTCACCTTAAGGCAAGTGCTCTACCACTTGTGCCACAGCACCACTTCCGGTTTTCTGGTGGTTTATTGGAGATAAGAGTCTCACAAACTTTCCTGCCCAGGCTGGCTTTGAACCGTGATCCTCAGATCTCAGCCTCCTGAGTAGCTAGGATTACAGGCATGAGTCACTGGCGCCCGGCGAGGATTTTTCTTATATCTGTATCTCATTCTGTTTTACTTAACAAGGTCCTATGAATGTGACTATTGTTTAGATTTCTTTCTTTTTATTGGTGGTCTTAGAATTTGAATTCAGGACTTCGCACTTCCTAAGAAGGCATTCTACCACATGAGCCATGTCTCTAATCCACTTTACTCTAGTTACTTTTGAGATATGGTCTCTCACTTTTTTCCTGGTATATCCTGGACCTCAATCTTCCAATTTACTATTCCTACTCTAACTAGGATAACAGTATACATCATCACACCCAGCTTATAGTTTTGATCTTAAATGTTCCACAAAGATCCACGTGTTAAAGGAATGGACCACACCTGGCAGTACTGGGTAGGAGGGGGTAAAACTTTAAGAGGTAGGCCCACTGAAAGGTCGTTAGGCTATGAAAGTACTCTTGAAGGAGATACTGAGACGCATCACCTTGTTCTTCCTTTCACATTTTGCAATGAAGCGTATGACCTGGCATCACCATGTACTTCTGCTATAATGTATCATCACAGGGCCAAAGCAATGAGGTCAGCCAATCATGGAGACAAACTTCTAAAACTGTGAGTCAAAATAAGCAAATACCTGATTAGCTCAGATATTTGTTACAGTAACAAAACTCAGTTACTGAAGTTTTCTCTGATGTACCCAAGATTATATGGTATAAGTTCCTGAAATCATTCTTGAATTTTCACTACTTAGGCGAGAGAGTGTTAAAAGTAGTTGAGTTTGTAAAGCTTAGAATATATTTTGGGCAGGAAGGGTCCAGAAGAGGAGTAAAGCATCTAGTAAACTGAGAAGTCCATTAAATTGGAGAACGTTAATTAGGTCTTATCTAATTCTCAAGGAGGAATATAACAGCACAATTGTTTTCCTACAGCTTTTCTACTGAGAATACATATCCCAAATCGGAACTATTACATCACAGGATTTGTAAAAAAAAAATTGGGGGAGCTGGGAAGGTGGCTCAGTGGTAGAGCGCTTGCCTTGCATGCATGAGGCCCTGAGTTCGATTCCTCAGCACCACATAAGCAAAAAGAAAAAAGCCGGAAGTCGCTGTAGCTCAAGTGGTAGAGCGCTAGCCTAGAGCTGAGGTCAGCGCCCAGGCCCAGAGTTCAAAACCCATGACCAGACCAAAATAATAATAATAATAATAATAAATTTTATGGCACTTGAGCTATAGTTATCATTTATTTCCAAAAATTAAATTGCTATCTGCAAATTTTCCTCATTTCAATAGTGAACAAGTATTAGCTTAGCTACTAAACTGCTGTTGTTTAAAAGCAGCATGGAAATGCTTTCATTTGTATATTTTCCTCACCAGTAATGCTAAATGCTGTCTGAGGCACTAGTTCGCCACCTGTGTCACCTTTGATGTGACCTACATTAGGTGCATTTCTCTTACAGATGATATATCTTCTGAGACCTGGGAATATTAACTACACTGAGGCATGGTGGAACTGTATACATCAGCCTCCCCTCCCACACACTTCAATGGGCACCATACCTACCTCAGTATCTGCATCCTTTCTGGAGAAGTCCGTCAACAAACTCCACATGTTCCGCTTCAACTTTTTCATGTCCATCTTCTTGGCAGTCTTGGCATAATGAATTTCAATTTTATTTACCTGAAATAGTACATAACAAAGTAAAACAAAGCAGAAAGAAAAACATTTACTATTGAATTTTGTAAAAAGAAAAGTCGGTAGTTAGAATAAAAAATCCAGTTTCTACCATGAACTATAGAGCTCTCTTTGAGAATACTAAGAATCTTTCATGAAAAACACTGCTTTTTGAGGTCTTGCTATGTATCCCAAACTGGTCTCCAATCTCAATCTTTAGGCTTCAGTCTCTCAAGGGCTAGGATTTCACATTTCTTTTTTCCTCCTTTTTTTTTGGTCAGTCATGGAGCTTGAACTCTAGGCCTGGACACTGTCCTTGAGCTCTTCAGCTCAAAACAAGTGCTCTACCTCTTGCTACAGTACCACTTCCAGTTTTCTGGTGGTTAATTGGAGGTAAGAGTATCACAGACTTTCCTGCCTAGGCTGGCTCTGAACCGCAATCTTCAGATCTCAGCCTCCCGAGTAGCTATGATTACAGGCGTGAGCCACAGGTGCCCGGCCTTGCATTTCTTTTTGATAAGGATAATCTCCATTAAAGCTAACTTGGAATTCCTGTGTGAAAAAATAAATGGATAAAAGAATAGTGAAAGCATCAGGCCTGCCACCTGGTATGGAAACAAACAATGTTTAATGTGTGGTAATTTAACATGAACAAGATTTGGCCAACAATTTTCAGAGCCATATAGCTAGCACTGCATTAGCATATAAAGCTGTTCTTTAACAGCTTTCATTCACATACTTTATTTGGGTGACCAGTTCATCCCTAGTTATACCACCAAGATCTTAGGAGCTAGATATATAGCTCAGTGGTACAGCACTTGCCTAGCATGCATGAGGGGCCTGGGTTTGATCCCTAGCACTGCAAAAATAAATTTAAAAGAATAAAATTTGCCAGGTGCAATGACTTATGGCTATAATGCTAACTACTCAAAAAGTAGATTGGGAGGATCACAGTTTGAGTCTAGTGAAAGCAAAAAGTTACTGAGATCATATCTGACAGTCTTTTTTTTGTCAGTCATGGGGCCTGAACTCTGGGCCTAGGTGCTGTCTCTCAGCCCTTCAGCTCAAGGCTGGCACTCTACTATTTGAGCCACAGCATCACTTCTGGCTCTTTCTGCTTATGTGGTACTGAGGAATCCAACCCAGGGCCTCATGCATACAAGGCAAGCACTCTACCACTGAGCCACCTTCCCAGCCCCGTATTTGACAGTCTTTACCTCCTATTTCCTATATGAGGAGCGGAAAGTATTTCTCTCTTTTTCCTATTTTTCCCCACTACAACCCTGTCCTACTAAAACAAATTCTTGCTTTAAAAAAGAAAGGGCTAGAGAATGGGGCGGGGGGCGGGCAGGGGGGGGGGAGGGCTAGGGGCTGGGAAGGTGGCTCAGTGGTAGAGTGCTTGCCTTGCATGCCTGAGGCCCTGGGTTCGATTCCTCAGCACCACATAAGCAAAAAGAAAAAAGCCAGAAGTGGCGCTGTGGCTCAAGTGGTAGAGCGCTAGCCTTGAGTTGAAGAGCTGAGGGACAGTGCCCAGGCCAAGGTCAGGCACCACGACCTGGACCCCCCTCCCGCCCCCCCGCCAAAAAAAAAAAGAAAGGGTTGGGAATGTGGCTTAGTGATAAGAGTGCTTGCCTCACATGCATGATGCACTGGGTTTGATTCCTCAGTACCACATACACAAAAGAAGCCAGAAGTGGTACTGTGGCTCAAGTAGTAGAGTACTAACTTTGAGTAAAAGAAGCTCAGGCACAGTGCCCAGGCCCGATTTCAAGACCCAGTACTGGCAAAAAAAAAAAAAAAAAAAAAACACCTCCAAAGTCCTTTTTGGAAACAGCAAAAAGGACTGGAAGAATGGCTCAAGACGTGGAGTACTTGCTTAGCAAGCACAAGGCCCTGAGTTCAAGCTTCAGTAAGAGCTAACATATAGAGGTGAGTTAAATGGACTTCCCACACAATTTCATCTACTTCATCCTTACCTTTTGAGGCTCAGCTACAAGGTTTGATTCCCCATACGTGGTGATATCTATTCCTTCATTTTCAGGAGTGTCACCATTCTCCTCGGCTGTCTTAGGTGTATGGCAGGGATAAGATGTGAGGTCAAAGGTCCCAACAGGTCCCTCAGATAGATTTTCTGCCTCTTCACCATCACTTTCAGCAACCTGAACAAGGAAACAGCTCTTGAGGTTTGGCAGAGGCTGTCAGGTCTTAGAAACATCCCTGCAACAGACTCCAAGTATACAAAGCAAGAAGAGACCATCTGAGAGTCTGTTAATCTGAGACTCACTGAGTCACACCAAGATGGATTTTTTTCATTTCTTCTTGTTTCTCCTGAGCCCCACTAGAAAAGTATCTGTTATCAGCCCAAGCCTTCTAAAGCAGAGGTTAAAGGAATTCAATAATCACAATGTCCAATGTCCCTTAACTTTCTAGTCAGTTGAAAGTTTCATTTTACAGAAAATTTTCCTGAAATACTGGAGACACCTATGTACTCACCCAAAAGAACAGAGAATAGGCATAAAAGCTGCAGTTCAGTGGTAAAAGCACATAAGTTAAGACTTTTATTCTAACCCTACCAAAAAAAAAAAATGCAGCACAGGAAATTTCAGGAATTGTCTATTGGGCAGCAAGGAATATCTAGCAGTCAGTGAGAAAGCCAATCACAGAACCAAGTCCAGAGTGCATGCATGAGAATATCCCAGGGCAGAGGTGGGAGTGGGGTGGATGTAGTCTTTTAATAGGCTTTTGGGGTGATTCATATGTATACTGAGGTTTAACAAACACTGGCCAAGGGTCAAGCTGAATTTTCACTAAAATATATCAACCAAACTCTTCTCCAAGCATAAATAAATAAGCAGACTAAGTTATTCCAGTTCTTTTCCCTCTCCCCACCTACAGGAGGTAAGGAGGAGGCCTATATTCTCATCCTTTCTGTTACTTATATTCATTGCCTCATTAGTAGATTCATTAATGAGAAATGGAAATTATTAATATAAACCAAGAACTAAAGATGAAGAGTGGCTTGTACAAGTTCACAATAAGATAACCATGTGGAATTAAAATCAGAGCTAGAAGCCTGGTCTCTACTAGATCACATCACCATCACGTCTATTTGTTTGTCATTTAGCCAAAACATTAGCTCCTTATAGCAGGAAGAGAATTCCTTGCATATTCCTCTGAAATCACAAAACAGTCAGGATTAGTGCTGCATAGGACAGGCTAGACTCTAGATAAGTGTGTCCAATGCTTGCTGCATACAGGGTGTGTAAGTCAAGCCAGAGCTGAGTGTTTCCTAAGTTTTGTTTAGTATCCTGCACTGAAGCACAACTAGCAGCCAGTAAATCCCCATTAGATTCAAAATTCCCACAATCCTCTGCCATATTCTGGGTGAGATGAAAAATGGAAGAAAACATCATCTACTTAGAAGAAATGATAGAACTCTTACTCCTCTTTACCTGTAGTCCAGGGCAAAAGTTGGAGGTGTCATTAGGGTTGTTGTAATCATAGTCTTCAATGTCTTCATAATGCTCAGTCTCTGCCTTCTGGCCTTGGGCCATCTTAAGAACCTAGAAAACATGAAAGAAAAATTACAAAAAGCAACTTTTAGATAAGCAGCTATTGAACGAGGCTGGAGAAATGAAGCTTGATTTTTTAAAATATAATTTTATTGTAATTAAGATATTGTAGGCACTAAATGGGCAAGGGAACTAAAGAGAGAATTCTCAGATGAAAAGATAAAAATGGCAAAGAAACACATGAGGAAATGTTCACCATCTCTGTTTGTGAAGGAAATGCAAATAAAGACAACCCTGAGATACCACCTTACCCGAGTCAGAATGTCCCACATCCTCAAGTCAGCCAACGACAAATGCTGGAGGGGATGCGGAGAAAGAGGAACCCTATTACACTGCTGGTGGGAATGTACACTTATACAACCACTTTGGAAAGTAGTCTGGAGGGTCCTCAGAAAGCTAAATATTGACCTCCCTTCTGACCTAGTTATACCACTTCTAGGAATCTATCCTGACAACAGGAACCAGTATACAAGGACACATGCAGGTACCTCCATGTTTATTACAGCACTGTTCACAATAGCCAGGATATGGAAACAACCCAGATGTCCCACCACAGATGAATGGATCCAAAAATTGTGGTATCTATATACAATGGAATATTATGCAGCCATTAGAAA